CCAGCTCCCATAATTCCTAACAGCTGGGGCAGGCATGTAGCTGGCGGGGGGGGGGGCTTGAGGGGCTTCAGCCCCCCCCCCCCAAATTCTCATGGTGGTTCACGAAAAGGCCTTACTGGTGCATTATTTAAACTGTTGTGTTTATTCTATCATGATCTGATCACCATACTCAATATATCCCATATGCATGGGGGTATTGGGGTAACAGGAGCCCCCGGTGGCGCAGTGGGTTAAAGCACTGAGCTGCTGAGCTTGTTGATCGAAAGGTTGCAGGTTTGATTCCGGGGAGCGGCGTGAGCTTCCACTGTCAGCCCTAGCTTCTGCCAACCTAGCAAACATGCAAATGTGAGTAGATCAATAGGTAACGGCGCTCCATGCAGTCATGCCGGCCACATGACCTTGGAGGTGTCTACGGACAACGCTGGCTCTTCGGCTTAGAAATTGAGATGAGCACCACACCCCAGAGTCAGACATGACTGGACTTAATGTCAGAGGACTACCTTTACCTTATTGGGGTAACAATACAAAAGATTTGCTAGCGTAGACCCTCTTTCACTCAGACTCAGCCCCCCGCAAACAAACTCAGCCCACCCCCCCATCAAAATCCTGGCTACGGGCCTGAGCTGGGGTTTCTGGGAGCTGAAGTCCAAAACACCTGGGGGAGCACACTTTTGAGAAACACTGGTCCAACACTGACCGAAGAAATGCAATTCCAAACTTTTGAGTTGTATGGCAGCATAAATGAGGCCTGTGAGGCTCCTTTCTGTGCCACCAATAGAGACTTTCCCAAGGGCAAAGGGACTCCAGTGTGATCTTCCTCCCAGTTCTCAGACAGTGTGTGTGTGTGTGAGAGAGAGAGAGAGAGACTTGGGAAAGGAAGAAGTTGGAGAAACAGAAACAAAAAGCTATTCTGTCAGTGATGGGGTTGGAGGACAAGAAGAGCTGTTTGCAGCAGCAAGGAGGGCATGGGCAAAGGCAGGCGCGCGCGTACAGTAGGTACAGTAGGAGAGGGGGAGGAGAAGAGTGGAAAGGCCCCTCCCCGGCGGCTTCTCCCTTTCCCTTTCCCTCCCCGCCTTTCTCCCTGATTAGCGGCAGCGTTTTCCTCCGTGGGAGGCGGCTTCGCCCGCCCAGTGCCCCGGCCTCCCTCCATCCCTCCCTCTTTTCCTCCGTCCTCTCTGTGCGTAAAGGCGCAGCGGCTCAGCCAGATGGAGACGCTGGGCAGGGAAAGGTGGGAGGGAGCCAGAGAGAAGGGGGGGGGGGGGGAGAGAGAGAGAGGGGGGGAAGAAATGGAAGAGGGCGCATCACTTAGGCACGGAATTTGCAACACCTCAATGGCCGTGTTGTTGGTCTGTTGCAAGGTCGCCTTTCCCTTTTCCAAACGGTGCAGGTGCCTCTCCAAACTACGACTCCCAGCGTTCCATAGCAGCGAGATACAGCAGTTGGAAGTGGTGTCAAAGTGCATCAATTCTAGAGTGTGGATGTGCACAAAACTACGATTCCCAGCGTTCCTTGGCAGCGAAATATGGCACTTGAAAGTGGTGTCAAGCTGCATCAATCCTCGTGTGTAGATGTGCACAAAACTACAACTCCCAGCGTTCCTTAGCAGCGAGATATGGCAGTTGAAAGTGGTGTCAAGCTGCATCAATTCAAGAGTATAGATGTGCACAAAACAGCAGCTGAAAGTGGTGTCAAAGTGCATCAACTGTAGAGTGTGGATGTGCACAAAACTACGATTCCCAGCATTCCATAGCAGTTGAAAATGGTGTCAAAGTGCATCAATTCTAGAGTGTGGATGCACACAAAACTACAACACCCAGCGTTCCATAGCATCGAAATACGGCAGTTGGAAGTGATGTCAAACTGCATCAATGCTAGAATGTAGATTTGCACAAAACTACAACTCCCAGCGGTCCATTCCATAGCAGCTGAAAGTGGTGTCAAAGTGCATCAATTGTAGAGTGTGGATGCACACAAAACTACAACTCCCAGCGTTCCATAGCAGCGAAATATGGCAGTTGAAAGTGGTGTCAAACTGCATCAATGCTAGAGTGTATATGTGCACAAAACTACAACTCCCAGCGTTCCATTCCATAGCAGCTGAAAGTGGTGTCAATTCTAGAGTGTGGATGTGCACAAAACTACGACTCCCAGCATTCTATTGCATCAAGATATAGCAGTTGAAAGTGGTCCCCAGTGGTGCAGTGGGTTAAACCCCTGTGTAGGCAGGACTGAAGACCGACAGGTTGCAGGTTCGAATCCGGGGAGAGGCGGATGAGCTCCCTCTATCAGCTCCAGCTCCTCATGCGGGGACATGAGAGAAGCCTCCCACAAGGATGATAAAAACATCAAATCATCCGGGCGTCCCCTGGGCAGCGTTCTTGCAAACGGCCAACTCTCTCACACCAGAAGTGACTTGCAGTTTCTCAAATCACTCCTGACACTACAAAAAAAAGTTGAAAGTGGCGTGAAGCTGCATCAATTCTACAGTGTAGATGTGCAGAAAACTCCGACTCCCAGTATTCCATAGCATCGAGATACAGTGTTCCCTCGCTACTTCGTAGTTTGCTTTTTGCGGACTTGCTGTTTCACGGGTTTTTGAAAATATTAATAAAAATATTATATATTTATGTCCAGTGGAGGCCAGGGAAGCCAGGGACCCAGGAAGTGTGATGGCCTGAGGCACAGCAGGGAAGGCCTGCCTCCCTGGCCTCCACAGACCCTGGAAGTGCAGTAGCCTGAGGCGTGGCAGGGAAGGCCTGCCTCCCTGGCCTGCTGCAGGGGAGGCTTTGCGGAGCCCAGGGAGGCAGACAGGTGCCCTTGGGATGGGCCGGGAGGCAAGTAAGGAAGCGTGGGTAAGAAAATAATATATAAAATAATGTATAAATATTAAAATTAATATGGTGTCCCTACTTCGTGGATTTTCACTTATCACGGGTGGTCCTGGAATGGAACCCCTGCGATAAGTTAGAGAACGTTGTATAGCAGTTGAAAGTGATGTCAAACTGCATCAATTCTAGAGTGTAGATGTGCACAAAACTACAACTTCCAGCGTTCCATAGCAGCGAAATATAGCAGTTGAAAGAGGTGTCAAGTTGCATCAATTCTAGAGTGTAGATGTGCACAAAACTACGACTCCCATCTCTCCATAGCAGCGAGATATAGCAGCTGAAAGGGGTGTCAAAGTGCATCAATTCTAGAGTGAGGATGTGCACAAAACTACAACTCCCAGCATTTCATAGCATCAAGATACAGCAGTTGAAAGAGGTGTCAAAGTGCATCAATTCTAGTGTGGATGTGCACAAAACTACGTCTCCCAGCTCTCCATAGCAGTGAGATATAGCAGTTGAAAGCGGTGTCAACGTGCATAAATTCTAGTGTGGATGTGCACAAAACTACAACTCCCAGCGTTCCATAAGAGTGAGATATGGCAGTTGAAAGTGGTGTCAACGTGCATTAATTCTAGAGTGTAGATGTGCACAAAACTACGACTCCCAGCTCTCCATAGCAGCGAGATATAGCAGTTGAAAGCGGTGTCAAAGTGCATCAATTCTAGTGTGGATGTGAACAGAACTACGACTCCCAGCATTCCAAAGCAATTGAAAGTGGTGTCAAAGTGCATCATTGTAGAGTGTGGATGTGTACAAAAGTACGACTCCCAGCGTCCCATAGCATTGAAATATAGTAGTTGAAAGTGGTGTCAAAGTGCATCAATTCTAGAGTGTGCATGTGCACAAAACTACGACTCCCAGCGTTCCATAGCAGTGAGCCATAGCAGTTGAAAGTGGTGTCAAAGCGCATCAATTCTAGAGTGTGCATGTGCACAAAACTACGACTCCCAGCGTTCCATAGCATTGAGATACAGCAGCTGAAAGTGGTGTGAAAGTGCATCAGTTCTAGAGTGTAGATGTGCACAAAACTACGACTCCCAGCGTTCCATAGCAGTTGAAAGTGGTGTCAAACTGCATTCATTGTACAATATAGACGTACACATAGACAGAGATGGAGTCTCCTTGGAGCCGAGAGGGAAAGGGAGGGCAGGGATGGCGAGTACAGCTTTCCGAGACACGCCTGGAAAGAGAGGGAGGGAGGGAGGGAAGGAAAGAGGGAAGGAAGGAAGCAAAGGAAAGGAGGAAAGGCGCAATGGGGCTCCTCCTTTCCCTCCTCCCCTTCTCTGTCTCCGTCTCTCTCTCTCTCTCTCTCTGGCTGGCTCTTTCCCTTCCCTCCAGCCGCTCCACAAAACCAGGAACCAGCTCCAAAAGCAGCAGCAGCAGCACTTTGCTGTGTGTGTGTGTGACTGTGCATGAGAGAGAGAGAAAAAAGGAAAGGGGGGGAGGAAAAAAAACCCTGGGAAAGACTAAGCGGGGAGGGGGAGGAGGAGTGAGGAAAAAGCAGGAGGAGGAGGAGGAGGAAGGTGAAAAGGGAAGGACACAGGCGCCCAGAGAAGAGGAGAAAGAGAAGGAGGAGAGAAAGAAAAAGTTTCCACCCTCCCGACGCTGCCACCTCCCTCCCCACCCACCCACTGACTTCTTCTTTTCTGGCGCAGATGGGAGCTTTACCTGGAATGACATAAGTTTCGGTGGGAAAAGGGATCCTTTCCCTTCTTTTTTCCCCCCTCCCCTTAAGAAAAGAACAGCAACACAAACCATTTGGAGCCATGCAAAAAGGGTCGGCGATGTGACAGCCGAGGGGGCAAAGCGGAGCTGTCACTCCGAGCTGGACTTCCAGAAAGAAACAAGAGGAAACAGACAGAGAGAGAGAGAAGCTGGAAGTAGTGCTCCCTTCCCTCTCTACCACCCTTCCTTTGATTTCCATTTTATTTTATTTTATTGGAGTGTGAGAGCGTTGCAATTGCAACCTTCCTCCCCTTTCATCCCCTGGGAAGGATTGCATGCTGATCTCTCTCATCTGGAGCCACCTTTTCCTTTTATTTTTTTTTTTTGCGTGGCCGTTCCTCTCGTGTGTGTGTTTCTCTCTGTGTGTGTTTCCCTCCCTCCCTCCTTCCCTCCCTCCCTCTCTCTCTCTCTCTCCCCACCTCCTCCTTTTCTGTCAGTCCTTTTGGATCAGATCTCGGAGGGACTTGCCTCCTCCGGCCATTGCAAGGGGTTGCTGTTGCTGTCAGGAAGAGGAGGAGGAGATAAACAAACACAACACAACAACATGAAGGTGAGTCCTGGGATTTTTTTCCCCCCAAAGCCAATCATCGCGACCCTTCCTACCACCATACTTTTTGATCAAGAGCAACAACAACAAGAGAGAGGGAAAGAGAGAGAGAGAGAGAGAGCTTGGGTCGGGATCAACTTCAGAAGATGGGTCAGGGTATGAATTGTATATTTTTTTGGGGAGGGGGATACAAATCCTTAGGGCGCTTCCAGGTCATGGCTAGTCCTTGGGCAGGGATCCAATGAAAAACTTAAGTCCAAGGGGAAGGAAGGAAGGGAAGAGGCTTTTTGGAGCAATAAAAAGGGGTCTGATGCGCGTTTGTGCAGCTCAAGGACCTGTCAGGAGTCTCCCCAAAAAGAGGCTGAAGGGCATGTGACGCTGGGAAATGACAGCCAGCCGCTATTTCCCACTTCTTTTGGGTCCCTTCTAGTGGAGGAAACAGGATCCCCCTTCCTCCTGAGAGTGACTTAGTCTCCAATAGTATATTTTGTATCCTTCTCTCTCTCTCTTTGGCCGGGAAGGGGCTTTCGCCACTTTTCTGGCCCCGAGGCACTTGGGATTTCATTAAACTTTTATTCCTGATGGGGAGTTATTTTTGGTCTGGGAATTAAATGGGGAGAGAAACGGGATCAAGATGGGTGTGTGCGACAAGCGAGGGGAGGGGAAGATGTCTGCTGGCGGGAGGAAGCGGGCTGGGGAGCAAAGCGGGGCGGGGGGGGGGCTTTTCAACGCGGATTTATGGGGGGGGGACTGAGGGGAAGCGGCTTTTATTGGCTTTACTAAAAAAGCGCGAGTCTCAGAGTCCAAGGGCCCTTCCACACAACCCTATATCCCAGAATATCAAGAAAATCCCACATTATCTGCTTTGAGCTGGAATATATAGCAGTGTGGACTCAGATAACCCAGTTCAAAGCAGATACTGTGAGATTTTCTGCCTTGATATTCTGGGATATAGGTATGTGTAGAAGGGCCCCAAGTTCCCCCAAAGCAGATGGATTTGAGTATTTGAAAATCCCACATTATCTGAGTGTGGACTCAGATAACCAAGTTCAAAGCAGATACTGTGAGATTTTCTGCCTTGATATTCTGGGATATAGGGCTGTGTGGAAGGGCCCCAAGTTCCCCCAAAGCAGATAGATTTGAGTATTTGTCTTGCCCCTTCCACACAACCTTATATCCCAGAACATCAAAGCAGAAAATCCCACCTTATCTGAGTGTGGACTCAGATAACCAAGTTCAAAGCAGATACTGTGGGATTTCCTGCCTTGATATTCTGGGATATAGGTCTGTATGGAAGGGACCCAAGTTCTCCCAAAGAAGATAGATTTGAGTATTTCTCTTGCCCCTTCCACATAGCCCTATATCCCAGAACATCAAGGAAGAAAATCCCACATTATCTGAGTATGGACTCAGATAACCGAGTTCAAAGCAGATACTGTGGGATTTTCTGCCTTGGTATTCTGGGATATAGATCTGTATGGAAGGGCCCCAAGTTCCCCCAAAGCAGATAGCTTTGAGTATTTGTCTTGCCCCTTCCACATAGCCCTATATCCCAGAATATCAAGGCAGAAAACCCCACATTATCTGAGTGTGGACTCAGATAACCAAGTTCAAAGCAGATACTGTGAGATTTTCTGCCTTGATATTCTGGGATATAAGGCGGAAGGACCCCAAGTTCCCCCAAAGCAGATAGATTTGAGTATTTGTCTTGGGGTCTTTCCACACAGCTCTATATTCCAGAATATCAAGGCAAAAAAAATCCCACAGTATCTGAGTGTGGACTCAGATAACCAAGTTCAAAGCAGATACCTTGGGATTTTCTGCCTTGATATTCTGGGATATAGGGCTGTGTGGAAGGGCCTTGGGATAGAGGGAATTTGCATTGTCTCCCTAAGATAGATAGATAGATAGATAGATAGATAGATAGATAGATAGATAGATAGATAGATAGATAGATAGAGGAATGATGAAGCCTGTGGAGAAGTAGCTCTGTGTTAGAGTTTGGGAGTTCAGGGCTGTCACTTCCTCAACTTGAATGATAATAATACTAATAGTCATTCCAAACAGCACTTGGCAAAGAGGCAAGAAAATACACTCAGGAAACCAGAGTCAAGGGCCCTTCCACACAGCTCTATATCTCACATTTACTGCTTTGAACTGAAATATATGGCAGTGTGGACTCAGATAACCCAGTTCAAAGCAGATATTGTGGGATTTTCTGCCTTGATATTCTGGAATATAGGGCTGTGTGGAAGGGCCCTTAGTTGTTTTTTAACGGGAGAGGTATAGATGTTTCTTGTATCTTCCACATTTTGGTTTTTTCCTCAACTTTAACAATCAACCTCATCATCCCACTTGGCCCAGACTATGGGTCCTTCCACACAGCCCTATATCCCAGAATATCAAGGCAGAAAATCCCACAATATCTTCTTTGAACTCTGTTATCTGAGACTGCACTCAGATAATGTGGAATTTTCTGCCTTGATATTCTGGGATATAGGGCTGTGTGGAAAGGCCCTGATATACACTCAGCACCCTTCTACACAGCCCTATATCAAGGCAGAAAATCCCACATTATCTGCTTTGAACTGGAATATGTGGCAGTGTGGACTTAGATACCAATTAAAAGCGGATATTGTGGGATTTTCCACTTTGATATCCTGGGATATAGGGCAGTGTGGAAGGGCCCTCAGGGAACCAGAGGCCAAGTCCTCCAGCTTTTCAAAAGCAGGTTCTGGACCCTTTCACGCAGCCATATAACCCAGAATATCAAGGCAAAAAAATCCCACAATATTTGCTTTGAACTGGATTATCTGAGTCCACACTGCCATATATTCCAGTTAAAAGCAGAAAATGTGGGGTTTTATCCAGCCGTGTGAAAGGGCCTCTGTTTGGTTTCAAAGGTGAGGTAGCTGTATAGATGTTGCTCCAGCCACACTTTGGCATTCTCAAATTTAATAATAATAATAATAATAATAATAATAATAATAATAATAATATAGAACTGCAAAGACTCTAGCACAAGTCAGTAAATATGGTGATTGACATACTGGGCGCAGTGCCTAAAGACCTTGGCCTGCACTTAAAAACAATCAGAGCTGACAAAATTACCATCTGCCAGCTGCAAAAGGCTGCCTTACTGCGATCTGCACGCATTATTGGCTAATACATTACACAGTCCTAGACACTTGGGAAGTGCCCGACATGTGATCAAATGCAAAAGCTAAAATAGTGACCTTGTTTGCTGTTTACTAATCTTGTTGTGTAATTATTATTATTATTATTATTATTATTATTATTATTATTAATCCCACTTGGCTAAGACTAGAATAGAAGCAATAAGATGCACCCAGGGAAGCAGAAGCCAAATCTTTGAGGTTTCTGTTGGCTTGATATTCTCCTCAATATTAATAATAAGAATAATACCAGACTATACTAGAGGTGATACAATGCAACCAGGAAACCAGAGAACCCTTGATACAATGCAACCAGGGAAACCTTGAGCTTTGAAATATAGGTTTCTGCTGGTTTTTAGTGTATCTATTGCAGTGGTCACATTTTGGTGTTCTCTTCAACTGTAACAATAGTAGTAACGACATAAAACAGCACTTGACCAAGAGGCAATAAAAGGCACTCAGAGAATGAGAGGCCAAGTCCTTGATCTTTGAGTCATAGGTTTCTGTTGGTTTTTAAGGGAAGTGTAGAGATGTCTGATGCAGTGGTCACAGTTTGGTGTTCTCTTCAATTATAATAATAATAATAATAATAATAATAATAATAATAATAAGTAGTAGTAGTAGTAGTAACAATATAAAACAGCACTCGACCAAGAGGCATTTAAAGGCACTCAGGGAACTAGAGACCAAGTCCTTGAGATTTTAAACATAGGTTCCTGTTGGTTTGGAAATGTGAGAAGGCATAGATGTCTATTGCACAGGCTACATTTTGGTGCTCTCAATTTTAATAATAATATAAATATTAATATTAATAATAATAATAATAATAATCCCAACCCTATATACAATTAACTCAAAGAACCAGAATAAGTCCTTGAGCTGGGTTGCTGTAAGTTTTCCGGGCTGTATGGCCATGTTCTAGAAGCATTCTCTCCTGATGTTTCGCCTGCATCTGTGGCAGGCATCCTCAGAGGTTGTGAGGTCTGAGTTGTTGTAGGTTTTTCAGGCTATATGGCCATGTTCTAGAAGCATTATCTCCTGACATTTTGCCTGCATCTATGGCAGGCATCCTCAGAGGTTGTGAGGCCTGAGTTGCTGTAGGTTTTTCAGGCTGTATGGCCATGTTCAAAAAGCATTCTCTTCTGATGTTTCACCTGCATCTGTGGCAGGCATCATCAGAAGCTGTGAGGTCTGTGTTGCTGTAGGTGTTTCGGGATATATGGCCATGTTCTAGAAGCATTCTCTCCTGATGTTTTGCCTGCATCTGTGGCAGGCATCCTCAGAGGTTGTGAGGCCTGAGTTGTAGGTTTTTCGGATTGTATGGCCATGTTCTAAAAGCATTCTCTCCTGACGTTTTGCCTGCATCTATGGCAGGCATCAGAGGTTGTGAGACCTCACAACCTCTGAGGATGCCTGCCATAGATGCAGGCAAAACGTCAGGAGAGAATGCTTCTAGAACATGGCGATATAGCCCAAAAAACCTACAACAACTCAGTGATTCCAGCCATGAAAGCTTTTGACAATATGTCTGTTGGAAAGTCCTTGAGCTTTTTAACATAGTATTGTCAAAGGCTTTCATGGCCAGAATCAGTGGATTGCTGTAAATTTTCTGGGCTGTATGGTCACGTTCCTCTGAGGTTGCTTGCCATAGGTGCAGGCGAAACGTCAGGAGAGAATGCTTCTGGAACATGGCCATACAGCCCAAAAAACTTACAGCAACCCAGTTTTTAACATAGGTTTTCTTTGGGCTTTTAAAGGTTTGTGTGTGTAGATGGTGGGATTAAAGATGTTTTTTCTGCAGGCCTCACTTTGGGTGTTCGACTTTTA